TCGTAACTTTCTCTAATAACTTGATTTTCTATTTGTTTGTTAAATGTGACAATATTTTACAATACGACTTTAGATCCAATAAAGATTTTTATGGTGATTGTATAATTTTTATGACATCATTTAAGCATTTATTGCGTAATTGTTTGCTACATTATTTTTAAGCCAATTTTCTTCGTTGCTGAAATGATTACGGAAGGTCTCAAATAAACATTGAGTCTAATGTAATTTTAATGTAATTAGAATAGCATCATCGGCAGCATTATTAATATATATTCTAAATATTACAGAATATGACAGTTTAAAGTGCGATTTTGAATCGGGTTACTGCGGCTGGACTAATGTTGGCTTTGATAATTTTGATTGGACTCGAAAATCTGGTTCAACCTATAGTAGTAACACAGGACCTGATCATGATCATACCTTGCAAACACCATATGGTATGTATATATACAAACACGTAGTATGATGCGAAAAAAATGTTATATTTTCAGACTATTTCAAGATAAAATATCTGTATGAAATATAAAGAGCTTTAATGGATCGATATTTTATATATTAACTAATTAAACTTGTGGAAAATTCAAAATATAGGTCATTATGCATATATGGAAGCTTCTTACAGACAAATTGGAGAGAAAGTTGTACTAATCAGCAGAGTTCTGAATAGTGAACGACCTATATGCTTTTCAATTTGGTATCACATGTATGGCAAACAAATTGGTAAATTATTAATCAAAGTCGTAACCAAAAATTCAATGGAAGTATTATGGGCAAAAGAAGGTAGTCAAGGTCGAAAGTGGAAAGATGCAAAGATCAATATAACGAGTATTCCACGAGACTATCAAGTAATGCATCATATAAATTTAAATATATCCATATATAAAAATATTATTATGCATGAGAGCTACTTTTTCTGCATAGTTAGTTGCATTAATATGGTGAAATTCTGCAAGTGCAAGTATATGTCGTTGTTTACTTGATGAATTATAACAGTATTATTCTCTATATTAGAAATTAGGTGTACTTCTACTTCAACATAAACTAAACACAATATCGCTTATAGCCTTTTTGAATTGTTATGCATATTTACTTACATTCAGTGCTGCATTATAAAAATTTGATGATAATTACCTTATCTAAGCGTTTATTAGTTTGTAGGAAGAGCTGTCTATTTGATGTACTTTCGCCATACTACTGTTATGTCATTAAATATCATTAGTATGAAGTAGTAATTTTACAAACTATCAAATATTAGATGAATATCAGTTCTATTGATCTTATATTAATAGTATTGTACAGTGTACATGTTAATACTCTCTATTACATACAATAGAAAAAGCGGAAAGGATCGGATACAGCTTTGCATTTATCACTACAAATTTACAATAAAATTACGACAGTTATTCTATCAAAAGAAAGATTTTGCTTTTGTTACAGAGAATTCGTAATGAATTCTGGTTTATTTAGTAAACTTTGAAACAGTAGAAACTCAAATTATAATTATAATTCACATTCTAATTGTAGATTCATATCGTAGCCATTCGAGGCCTCGACTGGTCGAGTGATATTGCAATTGATGATATTAATATACATGAGGGAAGTTGTGGTTAGTATCTATAACACTTACAAATCGTGTAAAACTGAATGATTTAAATATAATTGATAGAATAATATACTGAATCATTCTCCAGGCGCCCATCCATGTGATCCAAATCCTTGCAAGAATGGTCGTTGTCAGACGCTTAGCTCTATTAACTATATATGTGATTGCTGGACAGGATATGAAGGGAAACACTGCGAAGCCGGTTAGTATTAAAATGTACGAGCGTCATTTAAAATTCGAGTATTTAGTAATACCATTTTTGGATGTTACAATTTCATAATCATTTCTCTTATCTCAGCAAAAAGATATAAAGCATGCGAAAGTAATCCTTGCATATCTGGTACTTGTGTAAATTTGGCTAATGGAAGGCAATATAAATGTCAATGCTCTACTGGCTTTACTGGAAATCAGTGCTCACAAAGTAATGCTCGTACATATACAAAATCTTACTAATTTAGAACTCACAGTCAGATAAAGTACAAATTTATCTGCAAAGCTTTAGTTATAGAGGGCTAGTATTTAACAAATCGATACTAGAGTATGTTAAAAAATCTTCTGCGCTTATTGAAATTCACAAGAGCAACACTTGTCATCGAAATTAAGTTAGTAATTACATAGTATTTGTGAGTTTGTAATTATCTATATTACTAATGCTTTAGAGTCTGGTATCATTTATTTGAATAGCTCTTACAAAAGTATGATATTAATCTTTAGGATTTTTTTCATTACGTGATATCTCTATAACATTGCTATAGAAACCAAAATAATAAGACAATGGATATGCAATCATGAAGATTTTATTTAAGTCGTAGTCAAGCTAGTATTACCGCTATAGTATCCAGTTAAGAGCAATAAAATAAGCGACATTAAATATTCAGTTACTGTACCGCAACTGCAGTAAAGCTATAGCAAGCGCTGTATGAATAATTTTTCTATCGTAAACGTTTCAATTACTGAATTATTAATAATCGTTATTTAGAATACATTGAAAGAACCTTGAAGTTAATGCTTATCGGCAACTACAGCTCAGTAAGAAAGGTTTTGACATTTCTTTTACAGTTTCTAACTGGACGTGCGATTTTAAAAGAGATCTCTGCTCATGGGAGCAAAGTCATTTAGACTCATTAGATTGGAAATTCGTTAACCATAAAAATCGAGGTGAGTTAAGTCAGATCGAAATTAGATTCTGTATAATACGAGATAATACGAGTAAGTCGCGGACGGGCTATAAAATGACTTTCAATCTAATACGACTGGCTTAGAATTTGAGGTCGAGATAGAGAAATATTTTTATAAGTATAAAATATATTATACCGATGCAGAAGGTATGATAATATTAACTCCCTACCATTTAATAATGTTTAAGAATAGTGTATGGATATTTTACAGAAGAGTGAGATGGTCTTACTCCTGCTGCAGTCTGCGAGTATTATACTAAAAATGTGATTTTTCTGCTTTTAATGTGCTCTTTGCAGCAAATAGATACTTAAGTTTGCTAAATAGAGATGGCAATAATGGCTTTGGTACTATCAAGAGTCCACTTTTGCAAGGCAATGATTATCTGTGCCTTAAAATTTCCTATCTTATTGTCGGTAATACGACATCATTGTCGATAACTACTTCCTTTAATGACAAAATCTGGTCTAAAGACGGTAGAAGGCTAACTACATGGCGTAAAGCAGCAATTACAATCGATAAATTAGATCGATATACTCCGTTTAGGGTATTACTGCTAACTGTTTTACATTTCTTAAGTATATTTAAGAATTATCGGAATCTTGAGCTCATTCAGAATTTAAATCGAAAATTTTTTCGCTATAGATTTATATTACCGCATCTCATCGAGGAGGAAGTGGAGAGATCGCACTTGATGATATTCAACTGGTTCCGGGCAAATGCCGTAAGTGAGACTAACGATATTTTCTCAAATTTCAAGCTCCGATTACTACCTAAAATCATGAATGACATTAGTTATTTAAGAGAAACACGAAAGTAAATTTAAACTCTGTTAAACCACTAAAGTATAAAAAGTGACCCACAATTTTCTATTTTATTATGTTTATTTGGATAAATATAATGACATAGCGGCAATCTGGGATTATGAAGGTAAACTAAGAGCATCAGATTGATAAATAATCTAATAAATAATAATTACTATAGAAAATGGAATAAGAAGTTAGCTGATTTCCATTTATCGTATGATTGAAACCACTATTAATTTTGAAACTTTATGAATTATAAAACTACTTATATATTTATTTCATTGCTAACTTGTCTAATAATAATATTATAATCGATTTCATATACGTACTACGGGAATTTGTAGCTAACTTAGATTGCAACTTTGAAGACGACTTCTGTACTTGGAATAATGCCTTCTTCGATGATTTTAATTGGAAAAGAAGGACTGGTTCTGTAATAAATACCTCCGCTGAAGATACAAAGAGTAATACATCGCATCCAGGTACCTTAGTTGTATCATCGAAAATTATTTAATTTGATATATGAGTATATTCAAATGTTTAATCTGTAAGTGTTGAATTCTGTTAAGCTACCCACAAAATTACACATATAAATATTGTTACTGATTATCGTAACCAAAATGAAACTGAAGTCCTTATTTTATTACCAGACTATTACGCTTTCATCGATGGTATCACCAATATGGAAACTAAATGTGCAGTATTAGTCAGTCCAGACATGAAAAGTAGCGGTAATCGATTTGAACTTACTTTCTTCTATTATCTGTATGCCTATGTTGGTGGAACATTATCAATCTCGACGACATACAACGGTGTAATTTGGACTAAAAGTAGTTGTCAAAACTCTCGTTGGTTCAGTGAAAAAATACTTATTAATGTTCCCAAAGGACTAGAATTTCAAGTAAGCTTATTTCCTCACTGCATTATAAATATACAAGTACAGTGTTAGTATGCCGTATCACAGCGAAAGGTAATGTTTATATCCAGAAGAGCAATTGGAAAATAATATCGTTATGGGATATATCGTTACTAGACTGTTTAAGTACTATACTTTATTATTATTGTTATTTTATCGTTAATTATGTAATTTAAATATTATCATATTGCAATTAGTTTTATGATAGTGTTGGTGAGGGTACCTAGTTCATAAAATGTTGCTGAGAGATTAGTTAAGTATATCTGTACATTCTTATTCAGATCCATATTTCGGCCACTGCGGGCTATACAAACTTAGCTATTGATGATATCGTCTGGAGAAAAGATCAACGTAAGTACGGTAATGTCATTTATCGTATCCATTCAGTAATTCAACTTTAGATACAAGTAACTAATCTTGATTGATATTTTACTGTAAATCTGTTTTTCCAAGATCGATTCATTTCTTATGTGTCCATTATAATTAATTACAACCAATAATGTTAGATGCAGAAGAAATTCAACCAATTCAAGCGATACGCAATCATCCAAGATGTGGCATAACCAACTCTCGTATACCTCGTATTGTCGGCGGCAACACTACTTCTCCTCATAGTGTTCCATGGCAAGCATTATTGAATATGTTTCATACATCAGGGGGTATTTTTCGTAAAACAACCTGCGGTGGCTCACTAATTAATGAAAATTGGGTTATTACAGCTAGTCATTGTGTATCAAATAAGCCGATTCTAGTTACGGTTGAACTTGGACGGCATAATATTACAGCAAAAGAAACCTATACTAAACAAATAAGAACAGCTAAGTCAATCTTTCGACATCCCATATCTCAACATAAAGATTCCTATTCAGATATTAAAGATCTGGACGGTGATATTGCTTTAATTAAACTAAGTGCACCCGTAACTATTAATAATTTTGTGCGTCCAATATGTTTACCAGCAGCTAATGATACATTTAATAAATTTAACTTATGTAAAGTTTCTGGTTGGGGTAGAACAGCTGGCCAACAGAGTCACATCTTACGTTATGCCAATCTACCTATCTTAAATCGGAAACTTTGTAATAGCACCTTTTCTTATGATGGTCAAATTACCTCTAACATGCTATGTGCTGGTTATATGCAAGGCTATACCGGTGCTTGCTTTGGGGATAGCGGCGGTCCAATGTCATGTCGCCATCGTCCAAATGCGGTCCTATCGGGATATTCAAACCGATGGTATTTAGCTGGTGTTGTTAGTGGTGGACGGAGTTGCGGCCGAAAACATTATCCTAGTGTTTATGCAAACGTGACTGCAGCACCCATTTATAGATGGCTATTAAACATATTAGGAAATAATTAATAAATTGTGATAATGTGTCCGAAAATAAATGTTGATATGTAGACATTTCATTTTCTAAATTTATATTACACATTGTGCTTCATCTCTGTTTATTTCCATCCTATAATTGGTAAGAGATAAATGAAAATATTTGTTTCTAATTCATTAATACCAATCGTGACTGCTAGCAATGTCTGATTTCTTTTCTTGACTACAAATAAATGATAGAAATACCGTAGGAATTTTGTACTGTAAGAGCTAAAGGAACATAATAAAATAATTTCCTTCATCAATTTCACATCTATCGAAAAAATTTAAAAATTTTTTTAGCTTACATGAAATGCGTTTACGGATCAAGCTTGCGTAAGATTCTATTAGTATTGAAAAATGTTATAGTGCCCTTATATATTTGTGGCTGGCCAGTGTATAGTCCTTACAAAAATACAAGTACATAATCATAATGCAATAATACGAATAGAATGGAGTTCATTTTCAATCTTTGTGCTTTACCGTCTGTCTCATTCTATCGAGTTTTTCCTGGTGTAACTAGTAAGATTGCATTCAGCTTTCGTTCCAGAAATGGCATTTGGGGCAATTTTGGATCGAATGTATTACTTATTTGTTAGGTGTATAATTGCACTAGAGATTAAAACAAATTCTCATGAACTTCCTTCTTAAATATGAACCGTTAAAATTAAAGTTGTAATCAAGTATCTATTCCCCTATTTTCGCATCTTTAAGAAAATAGTCAGAGCTGCACCAAATAGCAATGCTTAAATTAGATTGGTTAGTCGATTCCAAACCCAAGTTCAGACCCGAGATTTTGCGCGTAATAATTGGATTAATTTTAAGTAATGGCTTTAGTCTGTTGTCACTATTAATACTTTGGTATTCTTAAGAGCTGTATTAAAATGATGTTAATAGGAGATGATATAGCGTTTGATGAATCTTAAATTAGATATCATTTGGTGTATTTGAGATATTTCAATTTCAATGTTAATTACTACGATGTCGAGTAAGATATGAAAATTATATTTACTTCTACTCTATTTATTACAGAATTTCAGGAAGTGGACTGCATAAAATCGACAAATCATAGAAATGGACTAGTTTCAATCATAGAATACTCTGAATAAATCATCTTATTTTAAAATTTAAAGAATTTTCTGTGATTATGTGTCTAGAAGTCTCATACTAATTGTTGGAAGACATATATAGAATTAATCCGCTCGCATATATAGTATTGCACATTACTTGTTTTGGTAGGGTATGCTACCATAGATAATTGTATTTTGTACACATGTTAACATATTTACAAATTGTTACTATCAATCCCAGTCGTTTATTAGCCATTTCTTGTAAATAACTGGTCTACTTCATTTGTGCTGCTCATTGCAAGACAAAACAAACAGAAATAGCTTTAACAATTATGTAGCTATAGCCCTAGGATGCCTAAAATTGACTTAGACATTCTTTAAGATTATCTATTTCTAAGGATTGATAGTAAAATTATGATTCACTTATCGTAATTAGTTTATTATCACAAAATATAACAAGTAAGATAAAATAAGGATAAGCTGAGAAAAACTACGTATAATCATAATATTTGCAACCTTATACATTTACCGGAATATAATATCATAAAATCTATAGATAATTGAGCGGATACGAATTAGGGATATCCTCTAATTCTATGATATATTTTAGTTACAGTAGATAATATCTTAGCATAACATTATTATACTAATAAACAGCACATTATTAATTATAGTACACACTATAGAATGAGCATTATCGTAATCTTAACATGGTGCCAGATCTTGCTGAGAAGTTGTATATTTTCATAAAGTTTGGAAATGAGCTTTACTATAAACGAATACAATGGGCTATTTGTATGAGATCTAGTAGTCTTCATCACTTTATAAGCATGAATATTTACCCTCTTGTAATGAGATCATTTCTTCTAGACAGAATAATAAATTATTAACCTCTAATATTAAAGCTAATATGATAGACTTGTGTGTTTAGAACACCCAGGTAGTAAGCTGATGACTGGGGGAAAATTGAATCTCGGTACGGTAAGCTTTATTTTATATAGATAGTGCGTGTTTTTCTTATCGTGAATTAAATTAATGAATGGGTTTACTCATTTAGACCAAGATAAACCTTGGCAAGCTATAGAAAATGTACTAACATTGCTTTAACAGTACAAGATTTTCCTTATCGATCGATTTAGCTGATACAACATAGTTCATACAGATCGCCCTGTTAAAATACAGTTTTAATAACCGAATTATACCTTGTATGCAAGCATTAAAACATTTCACAAACGATAAGAAGGCTTAAATTTTCGTCAATTCAAGTAAATTCAAAAGTAAGACTTCTTGGAATTTAGCCTATGTAGTCTAATTGGCTTTTACAAAGACCTAGTTTTCATCATTTAAATTCTACGTGAAATGTCATTAATTCTTGGAAGAGAAAATAGTTTACCGCAATTTCAGGGCGTGTTGCTCTATATATTTATCGGAATTCGTAGTTATTAAGAACTTTATTGAGTCTACAGTCGATATAAGATAAAAAATCATTCTTCACTCATCGTAAGCGGAAGAACATTATCGTTATTTTAGCATGGTATCAGATCTTGCAAAGAAGTTACAAATTATCAAAAAGTTAGAAATAGGTTTTACAATCGGTAATTATAATGCGCTTTTTGTACGAGATATTATAGCAATCACGTTATGGGCATGCATATTTTCCCTGTTGTAATGTGATTATCTCATCTAAGATAGAATAACAAATCATGAACTCCCCTTTCAGGGCTAAGGTGATCGATTTATATGTTTAGAACGCCTAAGTAGCGAGTAGATGACTGGGAAAATTTGATATATCAATCTCAGTCTGCTTTCTTCGTATCATACATAGATTACACATATTTTTCTTTTCGAAATTAATGAATGAATGACCTTTCTAGGCTAATTTGAACCTTCAATAGCCATTAAAATTGTACTAATACGTATAAAAGCCAACACATTTCACCGTCGTAAGTTTCGTTTCATCGATCCATTTCAACTGATATTATGCAGTTCACCTACATCGATATACGAGTAAAATATAGATTTAATTATCAAATTATACATTGTATATAGGCATCAAAAATTTTACAAACCGCACAAAGGCTTAAAAAAATTTATCAGTCCAAGTAAAAGTCAAAGATGAGTCTTATTAAAATCTACACTATCTAGACTTGTCGGTTATACAGAGCTATACTGGGACTAATCAAATTATGAGCATAGTGTCTGTTGATTTTTAGAAGAAAGAGATAATCTATCATATTTTTAGAGTATTAATATTACTTATGTATTCTTGATTGCTATTCTATTCGTGTATTGATCGAATTATTATCCCACTATTAATACTTTGTCTACAATAAATAGCTTTTAGGAATCATTTCTTAATTGGTTTTCATTACCATATGGAATCCAGAATAAATTAAATATTACTTTTGCTACTCTAACTATACATTTATTTTATTTTCCCCAATATTTATACCCCGTAGCGGAACTCGATTCATCTTAAGCATATTATCGTAATATATGTTAAGTAGCAAATCAGATCAATTGACACTTGACTACAAAGAGATAAAATTTTTCACCGAGATGCTTCGTCGTTCACCTTATTATTACATGGATTTTCACAATTTTAGTATTTGTATTTGGTTGGACTTCAATTAGGGGTCAGTTAATTCTAGTTTAAGTAATAATATGTCAACAATAGTCACATATGGCAGTAATATTCAAATTAAAGGTAAAAAAAAATCAGCCAAATTATTGCTCAAAATAAACTATTAGAGATATCTTTACATGACCAGAACAAAATCAGTACATTATGCTCTATTTCGATTATTGCAATGCAGGTCAGAAAGATGGTATATTATAAGAAATTTACCTGTCTTCTATACTCGTATAGATCATGATTGTACATTTTGTTAGCACTATAATATCGTACTGATATATGTAGGTGGAGCAGTATCTACAGAAATCGATACAAGTTGCAATTTGAGAGGAATTTCTGCCAATGGGAAAATAGCCGCCCTTTAGGTTTTAAATTTGCATGGATTAGAAATAAGGGCGAAACTATCATGCCCAAAACTGGTCTAAGTTACTATCATACTTATCAAAATCCTCACTGTAAGAGAAATTATATCTCTAAATATCTCTCAAACAGTTTCCATTTAGAACTTATAGAAAGTTTCACAGCACCAAAAATTTCTTTTAATGTTTACTGTTGACATTTCATTGAAAGTATTTTCTCTTGGAAATAATTTTAAAGATGGCCATTACGCGTATCTTGAGGCATCTAATCCATTGTACGATAACATTATTTTAAGAGCCCTGTAATTCGTAACAAAGATAGTCATTGTCTGCGATTTTGGTATAATATGAATGGAGCAGACGTCAGTCGACTACAAGTTGTATCATCCACATTGAAATATTATGGTCAAAAGAAGGTAATTATGGTAATATTTGGCTATTAGCTGAAGTGGATATATATTATTAAGGGTACAAGAATATAGAGCAAGTCAAACGTATTATTGGCAATGTGAAATTTATAAAATTCTAGTATACGTAAATACTTTTGTTCTTTTATAATCAGATAACTAATTGACAAATATAATTTATAATATTCCTTTTACGGTAGTATCTCCAGTACATAAAATTGCAGAATATATACGTTTGCATAATATTATATCATCTTATCAAGAATACTAGTTATTGTTGCATTGGTGATCGTATAGCTTTTCCTGTAGATATAAGTCATGTTTCATGTTAACTTTATTATGTTTTGTAGATATCAATTGCTGGATACGCCGGAGAAAGCTATGAAGCAGATATTGATATTGACAACATTACGTAGAAAAAAGGATTGTGCAAAAATACAGGTAATTCAAATCATTAATAACAAGACAATAAGATATCTTAGCACACTGCATTGTATGCGATATACAGCACCTTCAATTCTAATATATATGAAATAAGAAGTTCAGCTTCCTAAGATTATATATCTCAATCTATTCTCTTTATTATCTCATAAATTTATATAATCAAGACAGATTTTAGCTAGATATCTCATGCTAAGCTATCCAGGAAGTCTAAAAATTTAATTAAAATTTCGTAATTACCAATATGAAATCTAAAGTTAGATTTTACCATAGTGAAAATTTAAAATTAGTAATAAACGTAAGTAAAACTGCATTTTTAGTATGTAACATTAGCAATTTTCTCTTATACTTAATTTACTATTTATTGGGCAAATGTAGTAATCTTTCATGATACCACTTTAGACCCAATAAAGATTAGTGCAGTTGCCATTATGCAATTTTCATATTAATTCTTCGCTCATAAAATGATTCTGCAAGATCTTAACAATACTTTGAGTCTAACGTAATTTAATGTGAATAGAGAAGCGTCATCGGCTGTGTTATTAATAGATATGCTTTAAATATTGCAAAGTTTGATACTTCAAAGTACGATTTTGAATCGGTTACTGCGGCTGGACTAACGTTGGTTTTGATAATTTTAATTGGATTCGAAAATCTGGTTCAACTTATAGTACTAATACAGAACCTGATTATGATCATACTTTGCAAACGTCATAAGGTATGCATACTGACTCTTGCTGATGCAAAAATTTTTATAATTTCTGGGTATTTCAAAGTTAGTATATTTATGTAAAATATAAAGGGCTTTAATGAATTGACATTTTATACATTAATGAGCTAAATTTGTAAAAAATTCAAAATATAGGGCTTCATGCGTATATGGAGGCTTCTTATACTGTAGACTAGCTGGAGAGAAAGCTGTGCTAGTCAGCAGAGTTCTGAATAATAATTTCACAATTTCACTTCTGCGACAAGGTAACGTACAGTAAAAGTCTATAAGTAGCTACTGACTTAAACGCCCTTTTACTTAATGTTAAACACACACAGCAAAAGACTGTAAAGATGAAATTTTTATTAGCAAAGATACATCTACAACTTTTTACCACCCTCTCAACTCAAATGTTCCCGTTTATATAGGAACCGTCTAATTTGTAAACAACAATAGTATTATTATTATACCTTACTAGGAGAATTATCTCGAACTAAGATGCTCCTTATATAGCTTTTATATCAGTAAATATTTTGAATCTCTTACTCATACTTAATCTTAACCTAAGCTCGTAGGTTGTCTAATTCAACTATTATCCACTAGAACTTGAATCATCCTACTGCTATCTATCACACAATAACAATCAATATCAAATATGTAATGAACTATTACAAACAACATCCACGTTAAGGCATTACTTATCTTACCTAGTACTACAAATATGGATATTCTCCATACTAGCTAATACTGTACTTATTAAACTATCCTAATGACAAGGCAACACCGTAACAAATAAGCAACCTATATGCTTAACGTTTTGGTATCATATGTATAACAGACGAGTTCTTAAATTATTAATCGAAGTCGTAACCAAAAATTCAACGGAAGTATTATTGGTAAAGGAAGGTAGTCAACATCGAAAGTGGAACGATGAAAAATTTAATATAAAGTGTATTCTACGAGACTATCAAGTACTGTATCATATATATTTAAAAATAGCTATATAAAAAAGTGTCCTTATAGCTACTTGCATCAATATGGAGCAATACTATAAGTATACACCGTCTTTTATCAAATAACTTATTAAGTTATCATTCTATATATCGGAAATCAGATGTCCTTCTACTTCAATATAAATTTAAGACAATATCTTGTTTAACATTTTTGAGTTATTATGCATATTTACTTGCATTCAGTACTACTTTATAAAATTTGGTGATAATTCAAGTGTTTATTGGTTGTAGGAAAAGCTGTGTATTTGATGTGATTATTACTATAGTGCTATTACGTTATTACGTATTATTAGTATAAAGTAGAAATTTTATAAATTATCGAGCGTCAGATGTATATCAGTTCTGTTAATTTTACACAATAATGTATTGCTACTATACAAAATTAATACTCTTCATTTACGTATGAAAAAAAAATAGAAAGAGCTGAATAAAGCTTTCCATTTATCTTTGAATATTTATAATGACGTTATAACGGCTACTCTACCGGGAGGATTTTCCTTTTACTAAATAGAATTTAGGGTAAATTTTTCGTTTATCTAGTAAACTTTTATAGAAACTCGATCTATAATTTACATGATAATTATAGATTTATTTCGTAACTATTCGTTGCTTCAACTGGTCAAGCGATATCACAATTGACGATATCGATATTAATGGAGGCAGTTGTGGTTGGTATTTACGATACAAATAATTCTTGTAAAACTGAATGATTCTTTTATAATACATCATTTAGCATTCAAGTGAGCAGTTGTCACAAAGCAGTCTTGTGATTATCCTTTCATTTGACTACCAATTCTAATTGCATTCTAACTATTCTCTGAAGAGCTTCAGTAAGGGCTAGCTAGCTAACTTAATTCTGCTTCTTAATTCAAAATCAACGTTCCACAGTTACTGTATAAATCAAAGTACATTTATTTAATGGATCGTTTAGGTGAAACCGGAGTTAATAAAGTTCAGATCTTATATATTTTCTTCTCCATCACACAGTATACAGGCACCAAGTATTACACGATTGGGTTAGGATATTGTATACTATAAAATACTGTATGTGACTAGCTATTAAATAATAAATAACATCATTAGAGTCGCTAATTACTATCAATTATCACCGTAAATAATGAGCGCCTTATAAATTAATAGGCGTAAACAAAAAATTAATCATGCGTAAATGTTATAAATAATTATAATCAACTAACAATGAAGGATTCATCTAATAAATTTTATACAACAATCTTCTAAGCCATGGCACAGTTAGGAGTGAGCTCTGTAGCAATAGCAGTATTATTCTCTTAGATATTTGTAATGTAACTTAGTATTGTGATTGTAGACTGTTAGCCATGTGTAGTATAATGTACGGTAGATATTTATCCTAAGAGATATTTGGTAGCTGTAACTATAGACTGTAGTGGTAGAGACTCTATGCTAGAGTACATATGACTATATACAGTAAGCTGTTGAGTTACTAATATGGCTGTAGGTAAAAATAGAACTGTAAATCATATATTAGGATATGGTTAATTCATTGTACTTTGGCTGGTGTGAATAATGTCTACGTAAGTACTGTAGTCGTATCCATATTGGATTAATGATGGTCGCAGTAGAATAGTCTTACTAAGAATAATTTAACTATGTGTAAAATAAGGTAAAAGGTTGCCATGCGGATTGTAAGCTGCGAATGCTACGGAAAGTATAAAAGCATGCAACTTTAGATTATTCTGTTAGTTCGTTCTAGAAGTCTTTAGAAGTAGTATTCGGCTAGAGTAGAGCTGTGTAGTTAATCTTTGTATAAGATTCAATAAAGCCCTTATTTTTCTAAAATTTGGAATTTCGTGATTGGTATATATCACAATATTACAACCTTATAATTGTATGTTTCTTTGATTTTGGTAAAAAGATATAAAGCATGCGAAGGTAATCCTTGCCTTTCTGGTACTTGTGTAAATTTGGCTAATGGAAGGCAATAAGAATGTCACTGTCCTCCTGAATTTACTGGAAATCAGTGTGTAATGAAATGAAATATGTAGAAATCAAGCTACGAAACTTCTAACAAACTTTGATTCTACTTTCTTGGCACTCTGGTCGAATTATTAAAACTTTGACACCAAATAAAATTGGGGAAATACCCGATCAACAATTTATTAAGAAAACGTGAGAAAGACGGATCAAATAACGTTCCAAATACTGAATTCTAAGCATTATAGGTATAAGAAATAAAAAAAAAACAGAACTGAAACTGTCAACAACCTAATAAAAAGAAGAACGTTTTCACTTACAACAGTTCGACCCGAAGGTCTTTAAAATTTAACAAGTTCTTAAAAAGAATCTTCATTTACTCTCTACACTAAATTTTCTGATTGAGCTATCATTTATAGGCTTTACAGAGTCCTTAGTGGTATTTAAAACTAAACATTTATTAACCAATCACTCTTAAGATCGATTTTAGAGAACTATGCACCACTTAAGAAAACAAAAATCATTCAAAGTTCAGATACAATTTACCTTATGATTCCCTTACAAAACACTATAAAACCAACAAACTAACTAAAAAATATATCGAACTTCACTTCTAACATAATTCCTAATCATTAACACATTATAAAAGTCTAAAATTTAACCTTTAAACAACAAGATTTAGTCATAAAAATAACAGTTTAACTACTTAACAATCTACACAACCTCTACCATTTATTATCTTATTTTCCATTTTCTCCCTAGACTTTCCTAATGTAACTTTCATGTCATGTCATAAAATTCCAAAGTTTCAAATTTCCAAAATCAACTCTTACAACTTTTTCAAAAATTATACAGAACAAAAATTTCGGATGACGTCGACCTCAACCAGGAGACTGAATCCGAAAATCCGAATTTTGAATAAAATCACATAGTCGCTTATCAAAAATTTTATTAGTATTGACAGTTGATGTTTTAGCATGAAGTTGTACTGTAACTGTACGATTATAACCAACATTACAGTACTTTACTGTCATGTTATAATCCCCTTTCTCTATGGATAGGGCTTTGTTACTAAGTCAAATTCATTTACAATCCCAATAGACTATCAAAATCCCCTTTCTTTGGATAAGGTGATTATTCTTAGGTTATTTCTATAGTAGTCTATACAATACCTTGTAGAATAGTGAAGAAGAATAGATGGCGATATCATGATTTGGCTGGGTAAAACTTTAAGATACTATCACTTTCTAGGTATTTTCTAATGTAAAGTAATAATAGTTACGTACTAAAAGCTATAAAG